ACTTTTATCCCCAAAAGTGATGTTTTCCTTTACACTCGTGGGGGTGAGGTGGAGAACCATTTATCATCTCCGGTCATGTGGGCGCGAACAACCGAGTCCATTATCCATATGTCCTCCTCGCCTCCAACCTGCAATCAACAACAGAGAGGCGAGGTGAGCTAATGACTCAACATCTTTGGGGTTAGGATAATGTAATGAAAACCGGTCTTTGAGCCACTTGCTCAAAAGAAGCATTAGCAAAATCAAAGCTCTCAAAAAAGCGATGAGAACCACGAGGGGAAAGCGTGGTCATCATCCCGATGTTGTGCAAGAGCACGCGAGTACGTGAGCGAAAACCGGAAGAGCGAACAAATGGCTCACGTCTCAAAATAGGACGATCATGAGTACCACGTACAGGGTACTGCTCACATCTAAAAACACGACGATCATGAGTACCACGTGTGGGGTACTGCTCATGTCGTTCAGCACGCATCCTCCGATAACAGAACTCATAAAGATGACCATCATGACTGCAAAAATCACAATGATAAAGCTTGCGTGCAGGAGCGACAGAAGCCTCAGCATTAGAACTAGAAGCAACAAAAACAGGCTTAGCAAAATGATCACAAGAAGAACCATTTGGCTTAGTATTTTGTACATCCTTGAAGTGTTTTGGCTTAGGCGCCCAAACCTGCTTTTTAGGAGCAGATCTAGATGTCTCAACCAGCAACCCATCAGAGGTGACACCTGAACCCTTCCTAGGAGGTGGTCCAGTATATTTAGCCAAAGGTGGATTCTTCTCATCAACAGGCGGTCCACTTTTTTCACCAAAAACATGTTTCAAGTCATAACCGGGACCAAAACGCTCACCCCGTTTAATTTGAGCAATAGCCATACCAATTTGAGGCTCACGAATAGAACACCAACCAAGAATAGTTCTCAAATGCTTATTTTCTTCTTCCAAATCAGCAAGTTTGGCCCTTAAATCATTATTTTCAACAACAAAATTAGGACAAGTTAGGCATGAAGGAAGAACCGGACAAGTGTGTTTTTCCAACTCAACAATATGTGATTTAGCAACATTTAATTCAGATCGTAAAGTTGGACAAATCAAACAATCCGGCAAATCAGGACAAGTGTGTTCTTCAAAAATTTTTACCCGACATAAAGCATTATCCAAGTCAACTTTCAGAAGCGGGCAAGAAACACAAGTACCAAGCAAATTCGACCGAGAACGAAGTTCATTTAGTTCAGCGTAAAGTTTATCTCGATCATCAACAATGGAAGAATACTTGGTTTGCAATTTAGAAAGCGAAATCATATGAATTGAGCATTCTTCACATTCATCAGGTTCAGCAGGATTAGATGCAGCATTTTTTAGAGTAGCTAGTTCAGCACAAGTTTTATCATAATCAGTTTTAAGTTTAGCCAACACTTTATTTTGCTTATGAACAATTTTAGTTAAATTAGCTATTCTTTGTTCTGCAGAAGTATCTACCTCATCATCAGAAGTTTCATCGTTGCTGTCGGTTGATGCATCACCCTCCAAGGCCATAGTACATATCCCATCATTGATGCCGGCGTCAGTGATGAAGCAAAGTCCGTCTGTCTTCTTCTTGGGTGTCTCATCCTCGGAATCTGAATCGCTGGAGTCTGACGAGCCACCTGAAACATACTGTCCAAGAGAAGATAACAAAACATTTGCAGCCTTAGCGACTTGCTTGTCAGAGTATTTTTGTCCGCCTTTCTTCCATTGCTTATCCTTCTTCTTCCTCTCCCTGAACTTCTCCTGACGCCTGAAGGAGTTATTGCCCTGCTCAAAAGATCTCTGCTTGTTTGGGCAATCGTGACAAAGTGTCCTCGCTCACCACAGTTGAAGCGACCATCCGAGCGTCTTCTATTACGCTGTTGTCATACACACGCTTAAACTTGTTGGAGAAGCGGTACACAAGTTGATCATCATCTAGCACCTCCAACTCCTCATCTGCAACATAACACAAAGAAGACAAAGCAAAACTGGAAACATTTGGATTAGCATTAATGTTAGTCTTATTTCCAGAAACCAAAGCCATTGGAACGTCAGAAGAAGAAGCAGCTGTGGGATTTTTCAATTTACGCTTAGAAACAATTTCGATCTCTTTTGATTTGAGCTTACTGTAAAGCTCATCAGTGGTGAGAGTCTCATAACCTACAGATTCAACGATCGCCTCAACTTTCATATCCCATTCATCATTAAGTGAATGTAATAATCTGAGAGCCCTAGCATGATCATCATAAGGCATATTGCTATTCATGGCCTTCATCTTATTAACAATCACTTGAAAACGTGCAAACATGTCATCAATAGACTCACTAGGCAATTGGCAAAAAGCATCAAACTCTTTTCGGTGAATCTCAAATTTTCGGTTTTTCACAGTGTTTGAGCCTTCATGATATTTTCTAAGTTTCTCCCAGATCTGATAAGCGAGATCTTCACTAGAAACCCGATCATATTCAGTTTTACAAATAGAAGCACGTAAAATATAGCAACAAGACGATGATTTGTTTCAAGAAGCCCGATCTCAGCAGCGTCAGTCGGTTCCTCAGCTGGAATCACATATGTGGCATTTTGTGTGATTTTCCATAGCTTCAGCGACTTGCCTTTGAGATAGTTGGTCATACGTGCCTTCCAGTAATCATAATCAGTCCCATCAAAAAACGGAGCGCGAACATCAAACTTTTCATTGGTCGCCATAGCTTTCAGCACCGATTAAGGTATAGAAAACCTAAACCGGCTCTGGTACCAATTGAAGGATCGTAACGGGCGACCCGAGGGGGGGTGAATGGTCGCGGAAGCCAAAACTTTCTAACAAAAAATTTCTAACCCTTCCCCTAAACACAAAACCTGAATAAATCACGTTTTTCAAATCTGGACAGAACTCTATGTACCTAGTAAACCTGATGTGGACGAAAATCCGTAACTCCGATCGACCTAAAAATTTGTCAGATTAAACTAGATGAAATTACGAAACTAACCCAACTGGAATCACGTCAATCGGACTTACGGATCTTGAGATAAAAATAAAACAAGCAGACTATGTCAGATGCTGACGAGAATTGTAAAGAACCAATCGAGATGCACAAGATCAATCATTATAGATGAAAGATTAAATTGAGTAATTGAACTAACAAAAGTGCATCTAGCCTCCGCCCGAACATCCTCCCTCTCTTAATCAGAGAGATCAACAAAAACCTCTAACTAGAATTCAAACCCTAGGCTAGACCGGAGAGAGGAAAATTGAACCGTGGAACCCCAGGGCACGAGCACTGTTCACGGGTACTGTTCACGCCGGAGTCCAAAACGTCTTTCAACTCTCAACCCTAGGTGCCACATATTTATATCTCCAAAGGGTGGCACGACCTATTTTCACATAGCCCCCCACGCTAAATAAATCCAACATAGGGCGTAAATTCCAATTACATCCTCGATGGCAAATTCCGCGATGTCGCGATCCCTCCATCTCCGCTGATGTGATCCTCGCGATGTCGCCCGCACGACCATCCGAAATCGTATCGCGATCGCGAGAATTTCCATCTTCGCCAACGCGCCGCCAGACGAAGCGCCCCGCACGATGCATGGCTTTGTGGCTCAACCAAGAAACCCCGGATTTTGTGGCATAATCCGGAAACCTCCTCGACATCCTCCCACCGTAGCAGTGCGATGAGCGTACACGCACGATCGCTTTGTCCCTCGAACGCAAGCCTCGATCCGCCCTTCTCCGCCCCTGCGGTTTTTCGACGCGGCATCCTATCTTCGTTCTTCACTCGTCGCCGCATGTACCTTGTCTCCACCTGTCACCTGCAACCACAACCTGCCAAGAGACACGTCACACGCACACCGTGTTGTCAATCGCTCATCACCAAGGTGCTAGCCCACCGGCATCTCATAAACCTAACAACAAGAGGATGTCGTTGGCCATTTACCTTATGTCGACGCCAATTTCCAATAAAAGTGTGTTATTCCATGACTATAAACAAAAGCCAAGGACAAACTCTATCAAGTGTGGGAGTATACTTAAAGAAACCTATATTCACCCATGGACAGTTATATGTTGCAGTTTCAAGAGTTACAAATAAAAATGGATTGAAAAATCTTGATAGAAAATCAAGACGGAACATGTGGATCACTAACTAAAAACATTGTGTCTAAAGAAATAATTGAAATGATTTAGTTTCCTCCACATTTAAGACCCACCCCTGTGTTTTCATTTACTGGATCATATTGCAGGAGTATTAGAATCACCGGGATGCAGATGTTGCAAGGTCTGAACTTGACGGTCAAGAATTACTTGGACGCCGCATAGTTGTTTATTTTGCAAGAGGGGGTAAGCTCTTGCCACTACTGTTCTCTACTACATACATGTCATGTGTGACATTTTAGTAAATTCTGTTCACTTTTTTTGCTGTGTGTTTTGGAGCTACACCAGAGCTTCACTGATTGTTGTCCAAGACCATAGAGTTAATTCTTTTCGGTTGCTCCATCCATTTATACTTTTCCTACCCTTTGTTGATCTTTTCCCTAGCCCTAGAAACACAGGTGCTACTGGTGTGGAGAAAAGGAACATCTTAAAGGAAACTGCCTGAACAGCTCTATGGATTTTAGGTATTTCTTTGAATTCTTTTTTTTTATTGAACATGCAGCAGGTTTCCTTGAATACTCCAGCTAGATTGCATGTGCCTTTCTTTTTTTAGCACACATTTTTAACGTTTCACAAATACAGGAGAGGGAGAAGCTAAAGCCCAGGCACTGCCGGGGATAAGAGACCACCTGCCCTGCAGCTTAGTGCTGCTGCTCTGCTCTTGCGAGGAAAACATGGAGACCGTGGGGGAGGAGGGACCATCGGGCTGCTGGTTGTGCTCGTTGCTTGCTGATTTGGAGTTTTGGACAAAGAGGAAGCAGCTACGAGCGATCTGCTCTATGTAGAAGCGAAATGAATCTGCTATTGCGCTCCCCTTTCTGTGGATGAAAAGGGAGGGAAAAAATGGCATCCCTTGGAAAAGGGGAAGAAGCTAGCTGCTGCGGTGGTAGTGCTGTCTGTCTCACGGGAGGGGCCGAGGCTGGAATATCCGAAGGAGCCGTAGTAGGGAACAACAGGGTCTATCCTCTCCGCCTTCCAAGCACAGAAGAAGAGGATAGAGCAGCTGTGAGTGGACACCATACCCATCCCCTCTAACATTTCCTTCTCAGCGAGATTTACAATTTGAGTTCAGTTAGTGATGTGTCAATCTGTCTATTGTTCATACTTTAAGAGAAAATAGCCCCTTTGGTTCTTGCCAATGGAATATCGGCCTGATATAATGTTTCAATGACAGCAAGTTATTTAGGCTTTTTGTACAATGTAAGACACAATTTTCGTTTTCTATATAATCTAAGATTCAGGGCTGGTGGAATTCTGTATTCTTCTCAAGATATTTTGGAGACTTTGAACTCTGAAGCAGCACCTAAATTAGAAATTCCAGAGAATACGATCACCGATTGATTGTTTGTAATGATTTATTGGCATTGGCGCCTCCATGAAAATAAATCAGGAGAATCCAAGAAAACTTTGGTATTTAAATGTGCTACTAGGATAATTTTCTAGCTATGTAACGCTAATCCACAAAATTTAGAAACTTTACTTAATAGTATGTTTTGCCCTCTCTTGGATTTCAGCTAACCGGTATTACTTCTTTCATAAACTAAAATTATCCATGAACAATCGTTACGATCACTAGATGGTTTATAACTCTTGGTTTTTGTTTCATCCTCATTATAACTGCTTTGTGTATCACCTGTACACCTAAAAAATATTCCATGATAGTGTCTAGAGCTACTTGTATCATATAAGAAATATACATAGTCCACGAAGGTGTTAGAGGATACACGGACCCATCATGACCTTGCGCGGCAACGCTGTGCCTGTCTTTCTAGTTTCAGTCTAGTCCCTTAGCTTGATAGTTCACGGAATACATTGAACAAAAATTCGAGAACTAGAACTGTCACTTTGATAGTCTTGAGATATGAACCAAGGCCAAAATTAAAGTTTGAGCACCTCAATGATTATTTTGAAAGTTCAAGGATGAAATTGAATAACAACGCTAATACTGTACTCAAATCTCAGTGCTTTACTAAAACCAACAAATTTGGGATTCTCATCAGAAGGAAAAAGAAATAGAGAATTTTGTTTTTCTGGTTTCTTTAGGATTTTTTTAGGGGATTCTGGTTTCTTTAGGATGGGGCTTGGCATTTTAAGGTTGGGCCTATGGCTCGTCCAAGTCGGACCTGCGGCCCACCTCATCAAGTCACAAACTCACACAACAAACTGAAGAACTCGATCCATTCCTGAAACAGCCCATGAGTCCATAACCAAGCACCACGGCCATGGCCTTCCCCGGCGACGGGGATGACGCCGGCGACGCGGTGGTTCTAGAGATCACCGACACATCATCCTCCGCCGCCGCCCGTGATCCATCCTCACCTCGTCCCCCGCCGATCTCCATCTCTGACCTCGCGCGCTTCGACCCGCTCCCATCCCCAACCGTCGCCGTTCGCGTTGACCGGCACAGGCAAGCGAGCGCTCTCTCATCTCAACCTAACCCCTAGCTGATTCCTGCGCTTTGGTAATCGAATCCTGTCTTGTGGCAGGCTAATCGAGAGCTCCTCCTACTTCCGCGCGCTCCTCGGCGGCAGCTTCAGGTTAGCGAAAACCCAAGCCTCGAGCTCTCGAGCTACTACTACAAGTTAAGTTAGTGGCGAGTGGGCAGGGTATCTCATGGACGCTGTCTGTGTGCAGTGAATCCGGCCGAGAGCATGTGAACGTGGGCTGCGATTTGGAGGCTGCCGTGCAAGTGCTGCGCTACCTGTTTGAGCCTTCCGAGAGCTTCAACATCACGCACAACAATTTCCTCCCGCTGTTGGAGGTACCCAGTCCTGAAAGTCTAGCGTTTCACTGTTAATCAATTCTGAATAAATGATATAATACTTAGAAGTTGTGGTTGTCTAGTTGATAATACAAGACAATAGCCTTTTAAATTAGTTATCTTATTTTTGATGCATTTATTATGTTTCATAAATTCTGTGCCGTGATAATAGGAATTTCATTAGTACTGTCTACCATTGTGACCTCCATTAGCAGTTACCAGTAAACTAGTGAATCACAGATAGCTGCTGGAGGAAAATGGTCGTTTAGGCCATACTCATTAGCAATTTTGAGTCTAGTGCTACTGCCATCTGTTCATGGTAGGTGCTACTCTAGGTCACTAACTTCATTTATCCTCCAGGGAGCTTTGTTTCTTGCTGTTGAGAGCCTTCTAGTGGAGTGTGAAAGATGGTTCAGCACCATAGCCTCTCAAACTTCCGCCATTTTTTCAGTTCCATTAGATTTCATAATTGAAGTCTGGGACTTTGCTCAAGAGCATGGTGAGTGTCTTTTGTTATGGTGTTCTAAAATTCTCATAGCTGAAGGGCGGGCCTGGTGCAAGCGGTAGAGTCTTACCGCCTGTGATCGGAAGGTCCCGGGTTCGAGTCGCGGTCTCCTCGCATTGCACAGGCGAGGGTAAGGCTTGCCACTAACATCCTTCCCCAGACCCCGCACAGAGCGGGAGCTCTCTACACTGGGTACGCCCTTTTTTTCTGGAATTCTCATAGCTAATAGCTTCCACTTTAACAAAATATAGTCAACTCTTTGAACTTCTTTTTGCGCCGACTTTGTATATGTTTGCAGGTGTTACTTTTGTTCAAGAAATTTGCCGAGAATATCTAGCTCAGAATTTTGTAGGTACAATTACTGCATTACCATTGTACATTCACTTTGTGCATGTTCTTTCAAAAATATATTTCCTGGCAATGTTTGGTTCCTTTTCGATGTGCTCATGCATTATGCAACGTGCTTTCTGTACCACTCCCATTCTGTGGACCGCGCAGGCACATGTTATCTCAAGAAGGTCATTTAATAAAATACCTTATGATTTGCTATGTTCAACGATCGAATGTCCACATCTGACGGTGGATAGGTTTGTTGTATCTTTTCTCAGTGTTATTCTATGACATGATTTTCATTATTCCCTCTGTGAAGGAAAATAATTTGCTGCCCTTGTCCAGTGAAAAGCAATTGTGTGAAGCAATTTTGTATTGGGTTTCAGAAAATATGAAAACCTGTGAACAATCATACCCCAACTCTGTAGATGGCCACCTCTTCCTTCTTAGCAAGGTACACTGTTCCTCAAAATATGTGGGTAGTATTTAGTGTCAAGTCTATTCTGCCCCCCCAGATGATATCTGCTGTTGTATATTAGTTCATCAAGCATTTGGCTGTCTTGACTTATGCATATCTTTTCATTTGGACTGTTTCTGCAGGTGAAGATATGCCTTTTACCGTTGGGATTTGCGGCAGGTACAATTCCTAGATCTATAAATTTTAAGTGATAACAGACAGTTCTTGTTATGGTGGGGAACGTCTACAAGAGGAGGGACAAAGCTAGTGGCTGACACATCTTGGGGAGTTTCGCCGTCTTGCAGTCACCACGACCTTGAGTTGGGCAAGTCCGAGTTTCGAGGAGTCTAGTTGAGTCAAGAAGATTTGGTTAGCTAAGTTTGTTAGGAAATCAAGGGATTTGTTAGCAAGTAATAATCGTCGTCATGTGTAAGGACTATAAGAGTCCCAAACCGAGTTAATGAAAGGCAGCCCGAGATTGAGATTATATCTCCTTGGGCACTGGCGGTGCTCCTCTCGTTCTCCCCTTCTCTCTCTCCTGTTGTCGCCGAGATCGATCTCGATCACGGCGCCAAATCTCGCCATAAGCCCACGCGCCTCACACACCCGTCGATCCTCCCTACTTCCTCCGCGATGAAGGCACGCCTGCGTAACAACACGGTATCTCGACTTCATGGCGGCGTGCTCGGGATGCATCGGCGACGGTGGCGCCATCCACCGGGGTGCCCCCCTCCGTGGTGCCTACGTCCGGTTGTCGCCGCTGCGTCCACACTACACCACACCGCTCCTTTGCCGCCCTCGCCTCCATCGCCGATTCGCTCGCCTCGCTCACCACCGCCTTCAACCATATGCAGTTGCAGATGACCGCCATCAATCATCAACTGGCGGATCAGCGCTACCGACGGCCCTCGATGGCGCCCGGCGTTTCCCGATTTTGGCATGCCGGGTTTCGCGGCGTTCCAAAGCTCCCGTCACCTCGTGATGCGGTGATCACGGACGTCACTCAAGCGGGCGACTCCTCTGCGTCGGTGTTCCCCTCACCCACGCCATCGACATCTGCGGTACCGACCGAAGTCGCGAAGCCGCGCGCGACGCCGCCGTCCACGGGAGTTCACGCATCAGCTCCAATTCCCTCGATCCCGTCGCAAATCCCCAACCACAACCACGGATCGGTGGGCGAGACCCTGCCCGCCGCGGCCTCGGCCCATGGCATCATCGTCCACCATATCCCCGCGAGCTCGGCATGGGAGGTCGGCGGCGTTCCCAAGTACCACAAGATCTCGTTCGAGACCTACGACGGCCAGGAGGATCCGCTGGGATGGCTCAACAAGTGTGAGCAATTCTTCCGCGGTCAGCTCACCCGCGAGGTTGACAAGGTTTGGCTGGCGTCCTACCACCTTAAAGGGGTTGCCCAGCAATGGTACCTCGTCCTGGAGCAAGACATCGGCCGCCGCCTACGGCGAGACTTCCGTCGCTTCGTGCGTGGCGCTTCGCCCCGCCATTGGCACGAACCACCTCGCTGAATTGGCGCGGCTGCCGTTCGGCTCCTCTGTGGACTCCTACATGGAGGCGTTCCAAGCCCGTGCGGCGCACGCCGGCGAACTCACCACGCTCCAGAAGGCTAAGCTGTTCACCGGTGGGCTACCGGCATACATCCGCGTCGACGTGGAGCTCATGGAGCCGAGGGATCTCTAGCACGCCATGCGCCTGGCCCGTGCCTATGAGCGGCGCAACATCCATCTGCGACCCGCGCTCCCACCGTCACGACCGGCGCGCCGTGCGGGAGGCGTTCCAGCTCTCCCGGCGCCAGAGGGCTACGGCGGCGCACCCACCAAGCCGACGACCGCCGTGAACACCTTCAAGCGACTCTCGCCGGAGGAGATGGCCGAGCGCCGTAAGTTGGGCCTTTGCTATAATTGTGATGAACCATATGTCCGGGGCCACAAATGCGCCCGGTTATTCTATTTGGAAGCGCAGGACTACATCATCGAGGAGCCCGACGATGACGACGAGGGCGACAGCCCCGCCCCAGCTGACGCAACGGAGCCGTTCGACCCCGAGAAGCCCATGATTTCCTTGTCAGCGATCACGGGGATCCGCGCACCGGCGACCATGCAGCTACGCGTCCGCTGCGGCGGCCAGGACCTCGTCGCGTTGCTGGACTCGGGCTCCACTCACAACTTCATCAGTGGGGCTGCCGCGAGCCGAACCGGCCTCGCGCTCGGGGACAGCAAGGGCGCCCACGTCGTGGTCGCCAATGGTGACCACGTCGCCTGCCGTGGCCTGGCCCGTTGCCTGCCCATCCAGGTCGGGGGGGAGTTCTACATCGACTGCTACTCCATCCCTCTCGACGCGTACGACATGGTGCTGGGCATCTCCTGGCTCAGCACGCTGGGCCCCATCCTGTGGGACTTCGAGGGCCGCCGCATGGCTTTCCACCGCCGTGGACGCCGCGTGCTGTGGACGGGGGTGGGTGCGCCCAGCGCGGTACCCTCACTGCCACGCCACCTCCACTCGCTCGTGGCCGCCAAGGAGTCAGAGGCCGACCTGCTGGAGCGGCTCCTGGCGTCCTTCGACGACGTCTTCGCACCGCCAACCGGGCTACCACCGACCCGGCCATGCGATCACCGGATCCACCTCAAGGTGGGCACGGACCCTGTCGCCGTCCGACCGTACCGCTACCCGCAGCTCCAGAAGGATGAATTGGAGCGTCAATGCGAGGAGATGCTGCGCCAGGGCACGATTCGCGCCAGCACATCGCCCTTCTCGGCGCCTGTCCTCCTCGTCAAGAAGCACGACGAATCATGGCGCTTCTGTGTTGATTATCGGGCGCTCAACTCGGCCACGGTGAAAGACAAGTTCCCGATTCCCGTCGTTGAGGAGCTACTGGACGAGCTCCATGGCGCCAAATTTTTCTCCAAGCTAGATCTTTGATCGGGCTATCACCAAGTCCGCGTGCACGCCGACGACGTGGCCAAGACGGCGTTCCGCACGTACCACGGCCATTTTGAATTTTTGGTCATGCCGTTCGGCTTGTCTAACGCGCCGTCGACATTTCAGGCTCATGAATCTGGTGCTCAAGCCGTTCCTTCGTCGCTGCGTCCTCGTCTTCTTCGACGACATACTTATCTACAGTTCGACCTGGACCGAACACTTGCTGCAGCTCCGCGCCGTCCTCGACGTTCTTCGCGCACACGGGCTGCACCTGAAGAGGTCCAAGTGTACCTTTGCATCATCGACCGTCCAGTACCTCGGCCACGTCATATCACAAGAGGGGGTCGCCATGGACGCCACTAAGGTGGCCGCGGTGCAGTCATGGCCGCAACCGCGTTCTGCCCGGGGACTGCGCGGGTTTCTCGGACTCGCCGGTTATTATCGACGCTTCATCCGCGAGTACGGCTCCATAGCGGAGCCTCTCACTAGCCTACTGAGGAAGGACGCGTTCCAATGGTCGACAGCGGCGGACACGGCGTTCGCCGCCCTGAAGAAGGCGCTCTCCGAGGCGCCCGTCCTGCACCTGCCCAACTTCGACCGCGCCTTCTTCGTTGATTGCGACGCGTCAGGGTCGGGCTTCGGGGCTGTTCTACATCAAGGCGATGGCCCTGTCGCGTTCTTCAGCAGGCCGTTCGCGGCGCGCCACCTCAAAGTCGCGGCCTATGAGCGGGAGTTGATCGGCTTGGCGCAGGCGGTGCGGCACTGGCGTCCCTACCTCTGGGGCCGCGCTTTCGTCGTCCGGACGGATCACTACGCGCTCAAGTTCCTGCTGGATCAACGGCTCTCGACAATCCCCCAACACCACTGGATCAGTAAGTTGATCGGCTATGATTTTTCTGTGGAGTACAGGCCGGGCCGCTTCAACGTCGTCGCGGACGCTCTCTCCAGGCGCGACGGGGAGACACCCTTGCTGGCCGCGCTCCCTGCCGCCGAACCAGCGCTGGCCGCGGTGTCCACCCCCACGTTCCAGCTCTTCGAGGACCTGCGTAGCGAGCTGGCGGCCTCGCCCGAGCTCCAGACGCTCTGCACCGACGTGGAGGCCGGAGCATGCGGCGTAGACTGGGTCCTCCATGATGGGCTCCTCCTCTACAAGGGGAAGGTCTTCGTCCCCGACACCTCCCCACTGCTGGAGGTCGTGCTCCAGCTCGCGCATACTGGGGCGCACGAAGGGATCCAAAAGACGTTGCAGCGGCTTCGGACGGAGTTCTTTGTTGAGCACGATCGTCGCCTCGTCCACGACTTCATCCAGTCCTGCGCCACGTGCCAGAAGAACAAGACCGAAGCCTTGCATCCGGCGAGACTTCTGCAGCCGCTGCCGGTGCCCTCTCGCGTGTCGGCGGACATCGCCATGGACTTCGTCGAGGCACTGCCTAAAGTCCACGGCAAGAGCGTCATCCTCACCGTTGTGGATCGGTTTTCAAAGTACGCGCACTTCATTCCTTTGGGTCATCCGTACACAGCATCCTCCGTCGCGCGCGCCTTCTTCCACGACATTGTTCGACTTCACGGCTTCCCCGACTACATTGTCAGTGACAGAGACCACGTCTTCACCGGGAACGTGTGGCGCGACTTGTTCCAGCAGGCCGGCGTCAAGCTTCGCATGAGCACGGCCTTCCACCCTCAGACGGATGGGCAATCGGAAGCGGTCAACAAGACGATCGTCATGTATCATACGCCTCACCGCGACGAGCCACGGGATCATTTGGATTGGCTTCCGGGGGAGTATCGCTATAACACCGCCTACCACTCGATTACTCGCGACGTCGCCATTCACCGTCGTCCACGGACGCGCGCCCGGAGCTCTGCCGTATCGCCCGGCGAGGGTCCGCCGACGCTGTGGACTCCCTCTTCTCCGCCGCTGACGAAGTTCATCGCCGAGGTTCGCGCTCGTCTTCTGCGAGCTCGAGAGCACGCCCGGCGCTTCTACGACGCCAAGCATCGTGCCCTGGAGTTTGCGGTCGGCGACTGGGTGCTTCTTCGCCTCCTTCGCCACACCCAGTCCGCCGCATCCGGTCGCAAGGGCAAGCTTGGGCCCAAGTTTGCCGGGCCTTTCCGGGTGCTGGAGCGCATCAATGAGGTGGCATATCGCCTGGAGCTGCCGGCCGGAGCACGAATCCATGACGTGTTCCATGTCGGTCTACTCAAGGCGTTCCGCGGCACTCCACCCGACGCACCGCCGGCCCTGCCCCCGCTTCGCCATGGTCGATCCCTGCTCCAACCAGAACGCGTGCTGCGTTCCCGTCTTAGCCGTGGTGCATGGCAAGTCTGGTGCGATGACTTTACGCGGCCGACGCCACTTGGGAACCGGTGGGCGACTTCCAGGTCTGCGTACCGACCTTCCACTCGAGGGACGAAGCTTGTTTGGGGAGGACGGGAGAGATGTTATGGTGGGGAACGTCTACAAGAGGAGGGACAAAGCTAGTGGGCGGCGCATGCGGGGAGTTCGCCGTCTTGTGGTCACCACGACGCCCGGTTGGGCAAGTCCGAGTTCGAGGAGTCTAGTTGAGTCAAGGAGATTTGGTTAGCTAAGTTTGTTAGGAAATCAAGGGATTTGTTAGCAAGTAATCGTCGTCATGTGTAAGGACTATAAGAGTCCCAAACCGAGTTAATGAAAGGCAGCCCAGATTGAGATTATATCTCCCTTGGGCACTGGCGGTGCTCCTCTCGTTCTCCTGTTCCTCGTCTCCTGTTGTCGCCGAGATCGATCTCGATCACGGCGCCCGTCTCGCCATAAAGCCAGCGCCCTCACACACCCGTCGATCCTCCCTACTTCCTCCCATGAGAAGGCGCGCCCGTAACAGTTCTCATGTTTGCTCCTTCTTTTACGCTACACATCTTCCATAATTTCTTGTCATGTATTAGTAATACAATGGTCAATGGAAAATTGTATTTTTAGGGACAAAGAGGCATTGGTTTGACTTTGGAAACAACATCGTCTGCACAATTCTTGATCTTCTCAAGGACAGTTTGAAAACTTTATTGGATGCTATTGCTGATGGTAACTTGGAGAGATATTGCATTCGAATAACAGAATATTCGAAGGTTTATCCACTTCCATTTAATATTGCAATGATACATTTAACCTGTCTAGAATGAATTCTTCACCTTTATGTTTCGTTCTCTTTTTTCCTGTTGCTTTGCAAAATATTTACTACTTCTTTTAGTGAATGAAACTTAATGCAACCTCTTCATGTACTTTAATCTGATCAAATGCTGCAAAATAGGTGAAGTTTATGATGTGATAGTTAAGGTTGACTAGATCTTTTTACAAGATTCATATTCTCCGAAATATTTTTGCTATGATAATGTGCTTGCTTAGCTTCTTTTGCAAAAAAGGGAAATTGCAAATGCATTAGCCTTGAACTTCACTGTCCAAGAAGATCATGCACTCTGTCTATTTTTAAGGATGATGGTTTTATTTTGCAGAACATAGTGCTTTCAGGATGTCCCCAAGTAACTACAGCATTCTTGTACATATCTGTTCTCCCTACTGATCTGGATGTTTCATTTAAGAGAAGGATAGTGAGTTCATACACCCAGGTGGATCATCGAAGCTTCATTCTTTATGATGAACTAGAGAAGGCTGCTAAAACCTTATCATTCAAGAATGTACACATGGTGGATATTTCAAAATGTCCAAATGTTCATTTTGGCGCAGCAATTGACTGGTTGAAGTTGTTTTTTCCAGAATTAAGGATATTCAGGGTTTCACATTGTTTATCCTTTCAATTTGATGATTTGCTATATCTGTTACTGAGATGTCCATGGATTGATGAAATTGATATGACTGTTGATACAAGCACTGTAACACCCAAACATTCAGTAGTCTCGTCTAGTTCTGAAGTCCTAAGCAAAGTGAAACCAAATCAGAAAAGATATGGCATACATTGTCCACCATATGACGGACAACTGAATTAGATTTTCTTAAATATATCAAGATTGACATTGGAAGGCAGAAGTGATATTGATGGTAATAGAAAAGATTTGTGCTTATCATCTCTTGCTTTGCAGCTGTCCATATTGTTATTACCTTACCTGCAAGCTAGTAACTTCATTGTTTGCGCGTGTGCAGATGTGGGCTTGCTGGAGATATCTGTTTTGAAAAATTCTCTGTGCTATATAAACATTAGAAACTGCTTCCTGTTAACAGATGATGGTATTTCTAACCTTCTGATGAAGTGTACAAAGATCCATTCAATGGTTCTTTCTTACACTTCTTTTGGAAATCGATCAATTCAAACACTATGCGCTACCAATCCTTCTGGCCACAACAGTGTACATGCTCATGTTATGGCATTTTATATGCAAGAATTACATCTGGATGGCTGCAAAGGTAAAAACAATTCCCTTTGTCTCATGCCCCAGATCCCTCGATGACTGAGCAAATGATAATTTATTTTTATGACATCAGAAATACAATGCTATGCTTGTTTTTCAGTTATCATTATGTTTGCCTTCCACTACTTAGGCATGCTGGCTAATATAGGTATATGTCAATATGTAGGTATTGACTCTGCTGCTTTGTCGCAGCTAATGAGCATTATAAGCATCACAAAGTTTCTGAGCTTAAGGGAAACATCACTTACAGATGGTGCACTCTGCAAGTTTGTTGGCTCTAGTCTCGAGTATCTTGACGTTTCAGAGACTGTGGTATGATTTTCTGTTTGAATCATTGTTTTTGTTCAATATACCTGATCACTTGTATATTAATGTGTCTACTTTTTAGAAAATATTTATCATACTGATTATGTAATTTAGTTTTGAACTTCTAACTAATCAAGCAGTACAATTGAACAATTGATGAAACACTCATACTGGAATGTTCACTGAGCTAGGAGACTATTGATGAGTAATACATAGTGCACTGTGGCCTGTGGGGCTATTATTTCTATGTATCAGGTTGATATTTTATACACATGCCTGCAGGCTGCAGGGTGATAGAAGTACACGGTTTTTAATTATGTTGATGGACTTTTCTGCTACTTTATTTTAGTACGATAGCTATCATTTTTACCTTCGCATCCGAAGGACAAACCCCAAAAGTTGATTGTTAAGTTTGTTTTTTTCATGTACCATTATAGAGTGTGCTTAATTCTTTTCTTTTTGTCCGTCGACTCACAGATTTCTATGGTATCATTAGCTCCAGTTATACGAAGAAATTGTAAATTGAACTGTCTGAAAACAGCTGGATGCCGTAGTCTTCTGTTGGAATGTGATAATGTAGAAAATATCAGTGGTAACAAGTACGGAGATTTTCTACAGGAGGTAGGAACTACCTGCTGTTTGGAGGATGTTGAAATGGGTTGGGGATTTTGCCCTATTCGAATTGAAGATCTTGCTCCTTCTTTTAGTAAAGTAAGGAAGATGACAATTGGTCTTGGCACAGCATTAGCTGAGAATGTCATGTGTGCTCTTCCTATGATTTGCCCATTCCTCGAGTCTTTGATTCTGAGGTTTCAGGTGTGCCCCAACACTCGACGGCATGTTAAATATGAACTTGTGCTTTTCACTCCATAACAAATTGACAATATACATCCAGGTGATATCTGACAGAGTTGTTAGAAATCTATTGGAATCAGCAGTAAATCTTCATGTGCTTTGCCTGCACTATTGTCTTGGCAGTTTAACTTCATTTAGTTTCCAGACAAAAGCACCTGCATTAAGAGTATTGCAGCTTCATTGGGTTACTCCATGGCTTACAAATGATGACTTGACAATCCTAACAGAGAATTGCAATTTAGCTGAACTTTCACTGTCCGGTTGCAAACACCTTGACTCCAGTAAGTTTACTTCCAAATCCAGTGGCTCCTGTAATTTGGTCATTTTGAGTTTTCACTTTCTCTTGATCTACAGACTCTCAAGACATTATCTCATCTGGGTGGCCAAACTTGGCACTTTTACACCTTGAGGTATGCCTAACTGCAATCTCGACAGTTTGAGTAAACCTTATTGTGTCAGTGCTGAATATCTGATATTTTTTCCTCTAAAATCAAATTTCGGGGTTCAGTGGCTAATATAAGTATATAACTAAACTAAATAAATAGGACTTGCTTTAGTGGTGGGGCAGCAAAAGCCTTTTTTAAAAGAGTAGCTTATAAGACTAACAAAATAGCATGTCCATATTTTGTGCGCCAGCATGTACTCTACAGCTCTATTTCATTCACTGCTAGATGTTTTATATCGTATTAGTTGAAACTTGATTTTTAAAAGTATTTGACTTCCAATGCTATAAAAAGTATACTTTACAAATATCTAAAACTCTACTCAATGTCTGAAACCATTTTCATCCTGTACACGCCATCTTTTATGGATTGCATTATTTTTCCATATACAGGAATGTGGTAAAATAACAGTTGAAGGGTTTCTTCTTTTCTCAGTTGTAAAGCTTTGGAAGACATCCTACTACGGCACACGGTGAGTATGAAAATATCATAGCAAGTTCTTGAGATATAGTTCTAGTGAATCCTAAAACACAATGTAGAACTGTACTAAATGATGCGAGCAACTTAATACTTGTTAGTTGCTACCCAAAGAGGAAGTGGTGCCTGACATGGCTACAGTTGAAACAAACTTTCACCATGCTGTTGCAAAATTGCAGTCCATCTATAATTGTATATATGTCATTTCCAGGACGTATACCATTGTAACTTTTCTCTGTTGAAGAAGTTGAATTGTTGATTGGTTATATAGTTTCTGAGAGTTGAGAACCGCAGGGTAGGGGCATTGGAAGGAGCATCATAGACGATGCTATCAGAGAGGTGCCTTCCTTCTCTAGTTTATCGTCTGGCACCATCGGTTTCGAAATCTGTAACTCGGTGACATTTGTTGCAGTTACCACTACTGCGGAAGCTGGCTTTGGATCTATGCGATGCCTGTGAAGAAGGTTACGATAGCCCGAATGTGAGCACAGAAAAGATTTCTATCTGTAACTTTGATAAGACAGATGCTAATATATCACTGTCTTTATTTTGTAGAATGCGGAAGGAAAGATGATTAGAAGTGTAAGGATGAGTCGATGCAAGACAATGAAGGGGTCCTGTTTGGAGGTCGCGAGACAAGGGTCTTCAAGGCCGGTGCACAAGGACACCGTAGTGCTGGAATGGAGTAGCAGAAGGCTCACAACCACCATAGTGAAAGAAAGAGTGTGATAAGCCTCTTTTCTGTTCCTGATGAAATACACTGTTCCTTCACCGAAAAAATCTTTGCGGAAGAACAGGGGCGATTCGCAACATATATGGCTTGTATGAATGCTTTTTTTTCTTTCTGCTGATTTTGAATCCTTTTTCTGTGTGAAGTTATACTAGTGTGATGGACACGTACTTGGTTCCATCCTTTTGTCTGTATGTGTGGTACCAAGCGAAGAAGATCATCTCTAGACAAGTTTGTCCCGAGACCAAACTGTAAATAGCGTTTGCAGTTGTATACATGTACTCTCATATGTTGTGTTGATCCACGAACAAAATTTGATATTGAACTTTTGTATGTATAGTATTTTCATGCGCTTTCTTCAGGAAAAAAAAAGATTGTCGTAGACTTTGGAATTTTTGGATGACCATATCAATATCCAGTCATTCATGTTTGAAATTACAGCTGTATAACAGTAATTTGAATGCAGTAATTTTAGTAGCAAGCGCATGTATAACATCAGCAGAGGCAAATACTGTCCGCCACGTCATTAACTAGCCTCAATCATCATCAATCAAGAAAATTTAAAAAGTATTTTCGCCAAAAAAAAAATTCTGCTAAACCCTTGTCACCGATCTGCATATCTGCCTGCCAGCTCCCCGCCTCCCCGCCTCCCGCCGCCGGTTAGGGATGGCCCACCCCTCCGCTACCGCCGCTGCAAACCCTAGCCCTGGCACCGGCGAGGAAGGAGCCGCCTGCTCTCCGCCGTCGCCGTCGCCGTCTCAAAGGGGGCGGGGCAAGGTGGTTATCGTCATGGGCGCCACGGGAGCCGGCAAGTCGCGGCTGGCCATCGACCTTGCGGCCCACTTCGCCGGCGTCGAGGTGGTCAGCGCCGACTCCATGCAGCTCTACCGCGGCCTCGACGTCCTCACTAACAAGGTCCCCCTCCACGAGCAGAACGGTCTGTCTCTGACTCCTCACCACCTCCCCCAACTTGAGTTTCCTCTCAGATTAAATGCTCGAACCCGTTCCATGCGTTATTCCAGGTGTTCCTCATCATCTCCTTAGCGTGATCGATCCCTCCGTAGAGTTCACTTGCCGTGATTTCCGCGACCATGCCGTTCCGGTAAGCCAATGCTGCTACCACTGCCTCTACAAGTTTCAGTACTGGACCTGGGTCACATGATGATAGCTAACGCCTTCCCCTCTGCTCACAGATTATACAGGAAATATTGGATCGCGGTGGCCTCCCTGTGATTGTCGGCGGCACAAACTTCTACATCCAGGTTCAAATTTGAAGTGTCCTGATTTCTGTATCATCAAGTCCATCTGCTTTCTGTGTGACCGCAGTGTCTGAACTACTGTCGTGTTTTTTGCCCACTTAATATTTCAGACTCTTGTTAGCCCATTCCTCTTTGATGATATGGCAGAAGAAATGCAGGACTGTACTTTGAGAGATCACATAGATGATATAGGTGAGTAATAAGTCATGTTAAATGTTCCTTGTTCTTAGTGTGTAGCTCAATTCCCAAACAGCGGTTGACATGTCTGTTATCTGGCCTTACCAATGGCGATGAAGGCAGTGGGTATGAACGCTTGAAGGAGATTGATCCGGTGGCTGCGCAAAGGATCCATCCAAACGACCATAGAAAAGTAAGGGTGTTGCCCAAGTTTCCTGACTTTATATAACTATGCAATGTTAGAATTCCTTCTTGTACAGGTGCTCATTTTCCTACTGCCACTGATTGTTCTGTGTTTTTCCATTCTGCATGCGTTGGTCTATTGCAAAGATCAAACGCTACCTTGAGTTGTATGCAACGACGGGTTTCCTACCCAGTGATCTTTTCCAAGGAGAGGCTGCTAAGGTGAGGAATTTCTCTACACTTGTCTGCTCGGTGCTTTTTATCAATCTTGTAGAAATCCCAGTGAAACGCCCTCCTTTTGTCATGAACGTGAACCCATAATCGTCTTACAACACTCCTTTTCTTTTTCCTGTTTGAGTTTGAACTTGTTGGGATTTCTAAATGTCTTAAATGAGATCATTGGTTGTGTCGGAACAGAAATGGGGTCGTCCTAGTAACTCCAGATTCGACTGTTGTTTCCTGTGGGTAGATGCTGATCTTCAAGCTCTGGACAGTTATGTCAACAAAAGGGTTGATTGCATGATGGATGCTGGCCTGCTGGACGAAGTATGCAACATATATGATGCAGATGCTCTCTATACCCAAGGGCTGCGGCAGGCAATTGGGGTCCGTGAATTTGATGACTTTTTCAGACTATATTTACCAAGAAAAGAATCTGGTGAGGATTCTTCTGCGAGCTTGTTAGGTATACATGACGATCAGCTTAAGAGCTTGTTGGATGAAGCTGTTTCCCAGCTGAAGGCAAACACTCGCAGACTAGTTCGACGCCAAGTAAGCACTTAGCATCCTGTGTATTTTTATGTTATTGCTGTCTTTTGGAAGACTGTCCGACTGAGCACTGATACTTGGCTCACTGTAAATTTCTTACCTTTTTTTTTTGGCCTTAAAGAGACGGAGACTGCATCGACTGAGTAAAGATTTTGGGTGGAATTTGCATCGCGTTGATGCAACCGAAGCATTCTGCTGTACGTAAGGCCATCTAAACTCCTTCGGTGCACTGTCAAATGTGTATGCATTCTCTGCAGAAACTCATAATCTCTCATGTGTGTTTTGATAGGTGCCACTGGCGACTCGTGGCAAAAGAAAGTTGTTGAACCTTGTGTGGATGTTGTGAAAAGGTTCTTGTCTGACGATTCAACTCTTTTACCAAGCACAAGCGCCTCAAATGGTGTGGTTGGAAGTGTAAGGGGCCCGTCAAGAGAGCTGTGGACGCAATATGTGTGCGAGGTGAGTCTAGTTTTCCAAGAGCTGTATTGTATCCATAAGAAGGGCGGGCCTGGTGCAAGCGGTAGAGTCTTACCGCCTGTGACCGGAAGGTCCCGGGTTTGAGTCGTGGTCTCCTCGCATTGCACAGGCGAGGGTAAGGCTTGCCACTGACACCCTTCCCCAGACCCCGCACAGAGCGGGAGCTCTCTGCACTGGGTACGCCCCTTTTGTATTGTATCCATAAGAAAGCAGACGCCGAGAATTCTGTTGCAGAGTTACCGATGATGAAGCATGGGTGTTGTGTTTATTTAACTCCACAGGCCTGCGATAACCGGGTGCTGCGAGGGGCGCACGAGTGGGAGCAACACAGGCAAGGGCGAGGCCACCGGAAGCGAGTGCAGCGCCTGAAACAGAAGAACCTGAGCCTGAGGCCATGGCCATCAGCGTCGCAAGACTGCAGCTGATGGAGTGATGGCAGCTGCAGGTGGCCATTTGTTTTGTTTGCAATCGAGTGATGAGGCATGCAGTTCCAGGTCTTGAGCAGTAGACGAGCTGAAAAGCGTTTTAAGTTTTAACATGATGAATCACATGTATGTATGTGGATGGGGTTATTGGTCTTGCTAATGAGTTCACTGAAGAATGTTTTGATTAATAATTGGGTGATCTGCGGCACGTGCGTGTTTTGACTTGTGCTGATGATAAGAACCAAAGTAAATGGCCGCAGGCCTGCAACAAAAACGGCGGGGGCCAAAAAAGCGCGCTGGTGGTGATGTGGTCCAAGTCCAAACAAAGATGTCTCGCGCGCACTCATCATAAACTTGCTAGCCTGACAGCGACATGCTTAATTTTCGCCACGCCCACGGGGAATATCTCCATGCTTTAGCTGAAGCAGGCACAGGCAGGTGCTGCTGCTTGTAATTATAAAAGGCAGGCAAGCAGCTAGTAGTGGAGTAGTAAACTTGCACACCTCCTCCTATCTCTTCATTAGAGCAGCCGTTTCACGATGTTGTTGGGTCTGCACCAGTACCACACGACGGCACCCAACATAGTATGAAGTCGATCTTGGTGGATACATGAACAGAACATTCCCCTTTTTTTTCTTGTCCCACGGAAGTGGATACATGAACAATGGTCCATCCAAAGAGTACTAATTGGGCACATTCTCTCTTTTTTCCCCTTTAAACACTTGTACACACACAAACTCTATAAACATATGCACCGATGCATGCATACATTGCATCTAGGACTTAAACCCTAATAGACATGTTTGATCACATGGATTATAGATGCTCAATTAATACAATTTGACAAATACTACCATAACGCGGACCTGTTTGGATCACGGCCGATTATTATAATCTGGATTATGTATAGGATTACTACAATCGAGATTAGAATATAAAAATCAGAGTGTTTGGATCATTAAATTATTATAGTGGATTATCGTTGGTTAAAGTGACAAATGCTTACAATCTCAAAAGGCAGCTCTCAACTGGATTATAGGATTATTATAATCTGAACTTTTATTATAAACAACCCACCTATAATCCAACATGTTTTGTTTGCAATTAGATTATTTTAGTTGACTATTATATCACACAGTGGATCCAAACAAAACCTTAGGTGTCCTGACAAGACAAATGCATCAAGATTGTACTCTTCTTTCTCTTAGAAAAGTAGTTTGATGACCCCGTACGCCTTCCTCGTCATTACTTGCTTGGGCTATCCCCTACAACGAAAATTTTCTACTTGTTTTCTCATGTAAAATTTTGGTTGGGTTGATCATTCTCTTGGACTAAATATTAGACCGGTTAACATTCTTCTTTTTCTTTGTAGATAAGGGTCACTTGACCAGGACTTCTTTGGCGGACATTGTGTATAAATCCCCTTGCTGATAACTAATTTTATTTTCGATCTTCGACTACATTAGTCTTGTGCGCCATTGCATACAAAATGTAAGGAAAAAACAAACCTATTGGTAGGACATACACCCAGCTAGAATGAATAGACACCGATGGAAGGATGTTATTAAAATTAGCACAACATTTTATTTCATCGGGTTCTAATCGAACTGTTGAATTGGTCAAACTTAAGATGGTCTAGAGTTACAATAAAAGTTGTTACGAGGATCATTGGTGTTGTGTTTCTTGTGGTGGTAGTTTTGTTGTTGCCCT